TTGCATTGTTGTAGCATCGCTTACTAATTTTTTTAATGGTGTTTTATAAAATTAATGAGATAAGCTTTTTTTTTTGCATCTTTACAAGTAATATAGACACGCATCACTGATGAAAACTTGTTTGTGTTTTATGTCTCTTTTGATTCTTATCCAAATTATTCGTCGATTAAAGAGAGAAAACAACGAGAATGAAATGGTTTTTATTCGTTTTAAATTCCTCATATTCATAATAGTATTCGCTATCGATAAATCGGATCTTTTTTTTCGTTAAAATTCAGATAAGGTTTTGATAAAAAATTTTCTCTAAAATTTCTTATCTTCTTTTTACCGCATAAAAATCATTTTGAATTTCATTGAAAATTTTTGAGGGAATGAAAAAATTTTTTTAGACAAATGCAAAAAAAAAAAAAAATTTATTAAGAAATTATTTAATACATATTACTACTAATATTATTTTTATAAATTATTGATAAAGAAGAATTATCAAAAAAAAATTATTAAAATTTCATTCAATAAATAATTATTCGATTCTATATGAAAATTATTATTATTAAAAATTATTATAATAAAAATTCGAATTTTTCTATCCTCCATAATTCTACGTTGAAAAAGCTTTGATCTCTAATGGCTAATTCTAATGGTTAGCCAAATGGCAAACAACAGAAATAGCGAACAGAAATTAAAAGGAGAAGTGCAAGTGTAATTATTTGAATATAAACATGAACGAACATAATTTTATATAACATTCAATGTCATTCTGTTCGTTTTCAATTGAATTAATTTGAATAATTTGGCGTTTTAATGATTGAGAAAATGATACATATAAAAATACATATAAAATTGTAAAATTATTTTTCTAAAAAATTTCGAATTATAATTACTTAAATTAAACTTTTCCTCTTCCGTTTTTAAAGTTCATAAATTATTAATCTATCATTATTTTGTGAATTTATGAAAAGCTATTTATTTTGTTATTTGTTAAAAATAGAGTATTTTAAATGAAAAATCAAGAAAAATGGTGATGAGCATTGAATTTTTTAAAAAAAAATTAAATTTGGCTAAAAAATAAAATTACTAATAATAATTAAATTTGTCTAAAAAATCTAAAAAATAAAATTAAATTATATAAAATAATAAAATTTATCATTAAGCGGTTTACAAGATAAGATTGAAAAAAAAAGAAAATTTGCTTTAGGATTTCAAATTTTCAATCATAAATTATCATATCATTAAAATTAATGAAATTAAAATTAATTTGCTCTAATTTGCTTTTGTATTTTCTTTTTTTTTGTTTATATATTTTATTATAAAAATAAAATTATTACAAAATCATATAGGAAAAAAAGATGAAAAAAGATTTGAGGAGAAAATAAAAAAAATGCTGAAGAAATTCGATACTTAAAATTTTAAAATTCTTCTTTTATTTCAAATTTTGTTTAATTTTTTCTTTTTCTTCTTAGGCAAAAGTTTTTATCGGAAATTTCTTGGATGAATTCTGATTTTTTGCATAGTTTTCAAATAAATGAAATAAAATTTCCGCCATTTTCATATATATTTCTAATTATAAAAATCGAAGAACTGCATGATTTTTCATAAAATTCATGAAATTTTGGTGTTTGACTTGTCAGCCGCTAATTAATCGGCTTTTTTAGATAGTTAAATTGAAATAAAAATTAAATTGAAATTGAAATAAAAACAAGCTTTGAACGAGAGGAAGTTTAATTACTCTAAGTTCCCCAGGGATTTAATATTCTCAAAATCCTCTTAGTTCTATCCTTTAGAACCAATCGCTATAACAAATTGCACTGTCCCTTTTTTTAAAATCATATAACTTCCATACATTTCTTCTGTAAAATCACTTATGTTGCCCTGGGGCCTTTATTGCGGTATCATATGGTATCAAAATTCCATGGAATCTTTTGTTTTGTTCAGTTCTTTTTAATATTCCTCAGATACCCATTTTATAAAATCTTATTCTACAATCTTTTAATATCCTCAAGAATTATCCTTTATTCCCTGGACACTACTAAAATCTCTTTCACTATTAACATCATTTTTGGTCTCTTTAAACTTTCTTTAAACTTTCCAGTTTTAAATTGGTACCTTCCATTTATTTTTTCAATGCCGCTCTAAGCTTATTACGTACGATAATAATAATTATAATTATTATCGATTTTAGTTGATTGTGCAATTCTTAAATTTAATGGTAGAATCATGATGATTGTGGTTATAGAAGTACAAAGGGGAATTTGAGGATATTGAGATTTCTAAAAATTTAGCAAATATCAAAATAGAATGAATGCAACACCTTTGTAACCGCTGGAGCCAGCCTAACCAGTAATGGTGAGAGCTGTTAGAAGAAAGAAAAAGAAGAAGCGTTTCATTGTACTATTGAGTAACATCTTTATAGCAAAGAGACATTTAGGCATAGAAGTACAAGATCGATCTTCAGAATTATTCAGATTTCACTCTTAATGACGGTTTTACTCTTATCAGGAGATAGAATCGAACGAATAGACGCATATTGTTAATAACATACTATTGAAACATTCCGGCAAATTGCTTTCAAGGAACTGATAAAATCTTTCATGCATCCTAACTATTGATTTATGGGTGAATGCGTAATCAGCTTTATGAATCTATGCAATATTTTAAGAGATATCAAAGATATACACTTTTGTACAAAAGTTCAATTGATATAATAAAGATATGATCTTTCATTATAACTGAAAATAAGAAACATATAAATTCAAGTTGACAGTTCTTAAAGTTTTAAACAAAGAAAATTTCGTAATTTCGTAAAAAGTTTTCATAATTTTGAAAAATTTCGAGTTCAGTCCATTGACAGGGATGAATCTATTATTGAAATGTACTTGATGGCTTAAGCATGAATCTCTATCTTTGTCTTAAATTGTCTCTGTGGTACCACTCCAGTAGTGAATGAATCAAATATCAAAAATAGCCTAGACTATTAGAAGAAGAAGTCCTTGATAATTGATGTTATTTGCAGATAATTCAAAAAATTTTTTAATTATAATAATTATATTCACTAATCAATCTAAAGAAAAGGAAAAGAAAAGAATTAAAAAAATAAGGAGAAAATCTAATAAACTTTTTAAAACACCTCGTGGCAAAGGAATTAATTTATGCCTCGAGCATTCATTTTATCAACGGAGGAAGCGAGATCGAATTTATATTTTGGAGTTAAAATCAAAGTAGAATTTTTCTCTTTTTTAAGAACCCTCACCAATACTAGTCGAATTTGTTTCGCTGGTTTGTCATTCTGCAAATATGCCAAGGTGTCTTTTGACGATAAAAGTGGAGGTGAGTTACCACCATCATCCGATTTTTTGGTGAGGGTTTACTACTGTGGGGAATGGAATCTCAGCATCGGCGCTCCAAACTGAGCTATAACCCATTGAAGCGCTTTAACCCTTACTCTAACCCTTATTTGTACTGCCTTCAATTACGATCTTTAAATTTTTCTCATGCAAAAAGCACAATTTTAAATGCATTTTAAAGTATAAATCTTATTGAAATAAATAATTTAGAAGGCTCAAAGCTTTCCTGCTGAGTTAATATCTTATTTCATTTCAAATGCACATATTTATTTTTTTTTCTTCGAAATAAAACTACAAGAATGTCAAGGTTGTCACTTATTGCTTTCAAACTGAATGGCGTTTTTTTTTTTTTTAATAATAAATAATTTTCGAAACATGCATTTAAAAAAAAAAAAAATTATTTCTAAAAAATACAATGGATTAGACGAAGGCTTTGGGTATGTTCCGTGAAAAGCAAATATCTCTGCTAGCATATTAAAAGATAAGATAAAAGAATCAATCTAATCAATTAGTTTGATAAGTCTTAAAGTCTTTTAAAAAATTTTAATATTTTAAATATCTTAAATTTTAATATTTTATATGAATTTAATATTTTAAATTCATAAACTATAATTGTTATTTATTCTGGTATATTACTGCTTGCTCATGGGTCGCATTTGCTAAAAAGACATAAACGTACGCTGAAAAGGTTTTCACATAAAAGGCATGTGGTACTAATCCAATATATAAAGTGACGTCCTCTGAATTATTGTTTAAGAAAATTCAACTCTTTGCTAATATTATTTATCTATAGACAATAGGCAAAAATTGCTTTTTTATTACACTTTTTCCATAAATTACTAGAAAATATCAATTATTATAGGATAGGATTAGCCTATTTAAAATGTTCAAAAAAGGCAAAATTAATCGAATAAAAAATATAATTTTGGAGATGAATTTTGCGAATAACGTTCAGCTAATGAATATATTTATTTCAAATATCGTATTACAGCTTGTGCTTTGGGAACTTATAAGGATGTGGCAGGTGAAGGAGAATGTCGAATATGTCCAGCACATTCTCGATCTCCAAAAATTGGAAGTCCTAACTGCCAGTGTGACGAAGGTTATTATCGAGCAATCAATGAAACTATACACGATGGATGCTCACGTCAGTTTTTATAAAACTTTTACGTTTACGTTTTACGTTTTTAGCAAATTTTATGTTTTTAGCAAATGATACAAGCTGAAATTCGTTGTTTTTGAGGGCAATTTGTGAATTTGCTAATATATTTAATAATGAATTGCGTTCGGTCTATACCTAATCCTATTATCCAGAATTATTGTTAATACTCAGTAGTGAGCCCAATAATTTTTCTTCATCTACTACAGAACCACCATCGAAACCATCTAATCTGGCAACTGTGGAGATTGAACAAACATCGGTGGTAATTGAATGGGATGAACCATTGATATTAGGCGGTCGAAAGGTGATTTTAATTAATTGAAACTAAAAATCGAACGAATTCTTTTCGACAATTCTGGATTAAATTTAGTGAAATTCTGAATTCTAATTCTAATATAATAATAAATCTGAATTCTAATATTATAATTTCAAATTATAATATTAGCAAATTTCGATTAATTTTAGGAGCTATGGTACCGTTATCAATGTTCGTCGTGCCCGCC